CATCTTCGCCCTTGCAGACCGCGGCTTCCGTTTCTCCCGAGCACGAGCGTGCGCGGGCGGAAATTGCAGCGACTCAGCTATTACACGGGAGTGAAGGGAGCTATCCCAATCCTCAGTTTGATTCCAGCGAGGCTTGCCAAAGTCATTTACCCGATTCTTTGGAGACCTCAACCTTCCTCTTGCCTTGGGCCACGATGGCAGGCACTGGCACAGCAGGGGCCTGTCGACGAGGCTTCCGCGCCGCCGCCTCCCCCACCAGAGGCACAGCCTCAGCCAAGCGAGGCGCCTGTTGGCTTTTCGGGAAGCTCACGAAGGCATGTGGATCACGCAAGATCTCGAGATCTGGCATCACGAGCGTCGACGCAGAATCAGTGAGTAGTGCTTCTAGCGCCACCGTGCTAGATTCGGAGGCAGATCGCAAAGCTCGTGCAGAACATCTGCAGAGGCAGCGGAACCCTGGCAAACCCAGCTCCTGAAAAAGGTTAATTAGGAAGCAGTCACATGAAGACGTGCTGCGTCAGCTGACGGCACACGGAAAGACCCCATCCCCGACAGCAGAGCAGGGGGCAGCAAGGATTGCCAATCCTTGCTGGATTCACTGGGAGCGCATGTGTTTCAACGGGACACTTTCGAGCCGAAGGAAACATGAGGGTACATAACTCCTTCGGGTTTGCTACGGCTAGCACTTAGCAGCACTGGTTCTTTTCGTCTCGCTTGGTGGGATGAGACAGAACTGAGGTGTTCCAAACGCATGCAGAGGAAATATCCTCAGCTCTCGAAGCTGCTGAAGAGTCCACTGGACTTTGTCCTGCAGGGTTCATTTTTCTGCATGTTTCCTAGCCGAGGGTATGTTTGACACTCACGTGCCGTGGACCAGTCGTGGGAGGCAGCGCCAGCTGCTAGTGGAGAAGCGCAACAAGGCTTGCCGCACCACGCGAATGCCTCCAGCAAGGCTATCATTCATATCGAAGCCAACCACAGTGGTTGCCTCATCTGAGCTGCCTGAAGCTTGCTGGGACCATCAGACGCCGCAGGAGCGGCAAAAGCAGCTTGACGCTGCAAAGGGCCGGGGGCTCAGCGGCGCAGGTACAGTTCAGGCCAGTGTGTGGACCGTTCAGTGTCTCGTAACACTGCAGCACTGTGGCACCATTTTTTTCAGCAGTTTCCATCTTTGATTTGGGCTACTACCTTTGCAGACGGGTGGTCGTCGGTTGCCTTAGCAGCATCTCTCAGGCCTGGGTGTACGTAACTCCACCTTCGTTCATGTCCTAACACACGAAATGCCAGACTCGTAAGTACATGGAGATTCTCAGCAGAGCTTGCCGGCAAGCTTTTCTGCGCTCGCAAAAGGGGTCAGACAAAAGCTGCTTCGTAGTTTAAGCCTCCGGCCCCCTTCATTGAAACAGAGATTCAGGCAATGCCCGCGTGGTCAAAGCTGTGGACGCCGCAGAGGGCTCAGAGCGTCAGGGTGGCGGCCAGTCGGCAGGGAAGGTTCTGAAACGTTTCCAGAACAGGACTTCGTTCGAAAATGAGTTTTGGCGTTCGTCGCATGGCAGCAACGCAGCTGCAATCACTGTGCAGCTTCATGCAGATGTGTTCACCTTGCCATCAGGGGCAGCCTGTTCGTCGGTGACCACTTTCTTCCCAGAGCCAACAGAAAGTTCGACTTTGAAGCTCCCTAATTAGTCCGTGACTCAAGTTCGCATCCTAGCCAAAAGCCTCCTCTGCGAGGTCTCTACAACCATTTAGGATTTATGATTCAGGTCTCATTGCTTAACACGGATGATGACGAAGGAAGAAGCAAATCATGATCGTGATGATGATCACCCCAAGGCTACAGGCGCTGCAGGAGGCCTTTCAAAGAAGCGACCCCAAGATTACAAAAAAAAGCCTAGAGCCCTTCCCTTGGGAATCGAAACTAAATACCTCTGGTGATGGTGTATGTGAGGCTACTGCCGGTGGCTCCGCGACGGGAAAGCGCCGCGCTCAGTGTTGAGCCAGCTGTGCCTAGTTTGGGCTATATCCATACCTCGAGGATTATGGGATGTCATCAGGATCTTCGGGAGTCATCACTTCACGTCATGCTACCGGCACGTACTTCGTGTAGGGCGAGGCAGACACAGGGGACATGCAAGGTTTGACAAAACCGAGGTTAGAAGGCGACCTTGACGGAGAAGAACTCCAGGTACCACGACACTCACATGACCAAACCCTTAGGTCTCAAATCGAGGCGCAGATCTCACGGAAAGCTGAGCACCGATGGAATTCGCAACATCTTCCAAGCCAGTCGTCTAAGCCGAGGAACCTAGTCGCCGAGCTGACTGCACCCTCGGCTGGCGGAGAAGCCGTAGCGGAGACGGTCGCTTCGCCACATATAGATGGGCGGACGAGGGTCGCAAGGTCTTCAAGAGGTGTATGCCTGGTTGAGTCGTGGCGGAAATACCGGAGTTTGCCAGTTGACGTGGACGGATGGAAATCGGATACTTTTCTTGAGGATTCTGGGTGCGTTCCTTCCCATAAGACCTGAAATCAATGCAGAGCACATGGCCCGTCAGAACCCAAACTTAGCAAGCCAGGGACCAAACCAACACTTGGCGAGGAATTGCCTTCGGCTGTCAAAGCACTCGCGCCATATTTATTCTCAAATCACTGGATCGCGTCCCTCTCGGAATCGGGCTCCTCACCCGAATTCGATGCAATCCCCAAGCCCAAAACTCCAAACGCGCCCCGAACTTGCGCCTTCTCTCTGGGCGCCCCGTTGGCAGCCCCAAAGACTCCCAGGCCAACGCCGCGGCGCAGATGCGCCAGGCTTTGGCTGCCCAGCTGAAGCAAACTCTGAGGACAACGACCACGATCGCTACCACTACCAATGCTACTACTACTACATACTACTACGTACTACTGCGAACCGTTACGTACGTACGTACTACTGCTGCTGCTGCTGCTGCTACTACTACCACTACTACTACTACTACTACTACTACTACTACTACTACTACTGCTACTACTACCACTACGTACCACTACGTACTGCTACGTACTGCTACGCACCTCTACGTTCTGTTACGCACTGCTACGTTCTGCTACGTTCTGCTGCGGTCCACTACGGTCTACTACGGGCGACTACGTTCTACTACTACTGCTACTACGACGACGACTACTACTACTACTACGACGACGACGACGACTACTACTACTACTCCTTCTACTACTTTACTATTATTATTATTATTATTATTACTATTCGTGCTATTCCTACTACTACTACTACTGCTGCTGCTGCTGCTGCTGCTGCTGCTTCTACGACTACTACTACGACTACGGCGAATACGATTACGACGACGACTACTACTACTACTACAACTACTACGACGACGACGACGTCGAAGACGACGACCTCGACGACCACGACCACCACGACGACCACGACGAATAGTACGACTACTACGACTGCTACGAGTACGGCGAGTACGACGACGAAGACGACGACTATTACTCCTCCAACGCAACAGCAACAACAACCACCACGACAACGACGACGACTTCTCCTACTGCACAACGACGACAACTACGACAACTGCGACTACGACTACGGCTGCTATTACGACGACTGCGACGACGACGACTACTACTGCTTGTGCCACGGCTGCTGCTACTACCACTACTACTACAACTACTACCACTGCTCCACCTGTTCGTCCTCCTCCTCCTCCTGCCGCTGCTGCTGCTGCTGCTGCTGCTGCTGCTGCTGCTGCAACGACGACGACTACTCCGCGCAAAGTTTCATCGTTGCAGAGATTCTTTTTCGGTTCTTGGGGGTGGAGGCATGTGGAGGCCTTGCATGGGAAGTCTCGAGGTTAAGGCAATGCGGATCTACTTGAGAGGCACATGTTGACATGGGGCCATATCAGGTTGCGGCACATACACATCGAACCAGGCCTCTGCGCTGTGCGACCTCTTATTACATGCTCCGGATGTTTTCAAGATTTTTCAATCCTTGTTCGAGCCGTTTGTAGCTGTTCGAAGTGTTTGCCCATGTACCCCAATGCTGGAAGCCTCACAAGTGTGTGGCCAGAACACCGAGAATGGAAAACACGCATTATGCATATCCTGGCAGAACCCTTTCTGACAGGACTCCAGTGTGATGGTGGCCTCCTAGATTGCGGCACTGACCTGCCGTGCTGGAAAACAGCGCCTGCTTGTTCATGGCTGCAGGTTGTCCATTCAAGCAGCTGTAGACACCAAGCTGAATATGATCCACAGCCATTCACGGTGGCAGTTCTGAGGGCAACATGCTTTCAACATGCTTTCCGATGCGTTGCTTAAGTGCAGTAGGACTGCAACTGCAAAGCGTTCCTGTGGCATAGACGTGGCGGGGGTGTCATTATGTCATTGGTCATTCGGGGCCGTTTTGTTCGCGGAAGCAAAAGGCACTTCCTTCACTGACCTAGGCGAGAATCCGGCGCTCTTCACATCCCGTGCTTGGCTCAAGATACAAGAACACATTGCCGACCACAGCAAATCACGAGTCGGAAGATGCATATCCTTCCATCAGATCATCATCAGATCAGCCCTGTTGCCCGACTGACCCGCTGCCTCGCAGATTTTTTTGTTTGACAGGAGACGCGGAGACCTTACTCGTGGCATGCTGAACTAGCTGCCTTCTAGTAGGAGAAAATCAGACGTGTTCCGGTCAAAAGCTTCATGCAGCCACTATGTCCCGGCATCGTGCGCTGGCCTTAGATTTTGTTGGACTCTTGCCGCCTAGTCTGTGCAAAGCTGCTTGCAACTTCCGGTTGAACCGTCTTCCTTCGCCGGGCCAAGACCAGAATATTTTGACTTGTTTGCCCAAGGCGTGGAAGTTGTTTCGCGCATGCCAACGACAAATGCAGGGATGAAGTCCGCGGCAATGTTGAGCACCAGGGAGTGAGTACGATTGCTCTTTTCAGCCATTTCGTGGATGCCATGTCGCGCAGTGGTAGAACTCTTCCAGTGGTCTGATGATCGGGGAAGTAAAGCCGAGGGCGACAGGCACTGAGCTATGCTCTGGAGAAGATCCCCGCGCTTTTGATGTCAGATTTCGGCTGCTGGTCCGTGGCATCTCTGGCAACACCGTGCTGGACAAGGAAGGCTGCAATCCAGAAGCACTGGTACAGGACATCATGCGTGAAGTTGTGGTGAGCTTGGAGAGGCCGACAATTATCCAGCTGTGTTTGGGATCCTTGGTGTTGAGGGCAGCTTCACGGATCGGTGACTACAAAAGAAGGCAGTGCTTGGAGCTCCTGTGCATCAAGCTCCCAGGTCAGGGTTTGAAGAGGGCACCGATGAATTCTGGCTTTGACTTCGACACACTCTGGGTCTTGCTGGGGGATCCAGCCGTTGGCAAATCTTGCTTGCGGCTGCAGTTCACAGACAGGTTGCAAGAATGGCCCTGCCCTACCATGGGGTTCCAGGAAACATCTCGGATTGTCTGCATCGGTGGTGCAATGGTCAGAATGCAGATCGTGGAAGTAGGTGGGTACAGGCAATCTCTTGGGCCGCTGGGCGGCTACGATGGTGCCTTCCTGGTTTACGATGTCACGCAGCGCCACACGTTCGACCATGTAGGGTCGAAGTTCTTTCCAGCCACTGCCACTGAGAGCATGAAGGCACGGTGCCTCATTGGAAATAAAGCAGACAAGGATCGTGAAAGACAGGTTTCTTATGAAGATGGACAACAACTGGCCAACGAGCTGGGACTCCTCTTTATGGAGACATCCTTAAGTGCTGTCGCCATGGTCGACGAGGCTTTCTTCAGTGCTTGTGAGGCGGCTTGCTTTTGTTAGGCATTTGCCTGACAGGATACCGGTGTTTTCCTGAGCATGACCTGGTCGTCTTTCGGTCTCGTGCCCCCTCTACGAACGCGAATATGCAGAGATCTTGCAGGAGATGGCAGTGCGGCTGCGAGCTGTGCGTGTGCAAAGGCATCCCAGGTGCACGTTGAGAGGAGACCTCTGCTCTGCAGCCAACGTGCAACCAGGCTTGAGTGCGAGAAACGGGAAGATATCCTTGCAGTGGGGTCAACGTCGGTCTGGAATTTATCGGTCACGCGCTTTGAAGTCCTTGACAACACAGGTTAAGGTAACTGAGGTGACGAACATCACGCCAGATCGAGATGCTCCTCCCCCTCTGCTCTTTATGCGAAGTGTGCCAGTCTTGCACCCCAACAGTTCAGGAGAAAAGGAGTTTCGCAATCCCTACCCCACCCGCCGAATCCAAAAACCATGACCTTTGGCTAGATATTACATAGACCTCATGCCATGACGACCCCTCGCAGTTCAGGGGTCGTGAGTGCAACTAAGATAGTTACAGGATGCAGTTTGTGCAGCTTCATGTTGACAATCGGTCAAAGCACCGAGTCCTCAACCATCTGGGTTGAGGGTGTCGAGTCGGAAGCTGTGATTCTGCAGGCCAGTCGCGAAGACAGGTGCGTTGGGCCTTGCTCGATGCTGTTGCCAAGTCTTTTCAGGACTGAATGTGCTCGCAGTAATGATCATGGACGGACACCGTGCAGCGTGCTGAAGCTGCACGAGCGGTTGTTCCCTTCACTGAACAGTGCCTTGTGGGGTTCGTTCTGTTTTGTGGACGTGATGTCTCCTCCACGCAGCTTGACGCTTTCACTCGACTTTGCTCTCGCTGCTCGCAGCCTGTGGCCCTTGGAGGTGCGCCGCCACCTGCGCCAAGCCAGGACATCATCAGCTTCCTAGAGCAGGCGATTTGGGAGGTCATTGGCTGCACCAAGCTGCAACTGCGCGCGACGTCCAGGCTGTCCAAGCCGGTGCAGCAGCACCGCAGGTGCGGAATATCTTTCGTGCTGGCTATCACGACCCCTGATGACAGACCTTGTTGCTGAAGTAGAAGGCTGATAAAGGTAGCAGGTAACGAGGAAGCAAAGTGTCTTAAGCTTGGGTCAGTCGATTGTCGTCTTCAATTCAGCACACGAGGATGTCCGGCTTAGCCAGAATCATAATATCCATGGTAGTCACCCTTGACACGCAGTCCAGGTGGCATTGTTTTGGTCATAGCAAAGGCTGTTGTTATTGTTTTTGTGGTGCTGGTGATGGTTGTTGTGGTGGTGGTGGTAATGGTTTTTGTTGTGGTGGTTTTGGCGCCGGTCGTTGTTGATGGGACGATGGCTATGGTGGTGGCTATTGCGGTGGTTATCGTGACTGTGATGTCCATGGCTGCGGCGGTTGGTTGTGGGCTAGCAGCTATGGTCTTGCAGTGGTGCCGTCTGCGGCAGTTATGGTGGCCTAGCAGGGGTCGCTTGTCTGTGCTTCCCATTCTTTTGCCAGGCCCCGCCGGCCTCCAAGGCTGTACTCTCTCTTGGCTTTCTGCTTCTTCGAAGCGACTTCAGGGCTACTACACCTCGGGTGCTTCAGATGTTTCAGGTCTTGCAAGGACTTCACCAGATGGAGGTCGGGACCATTTCGTTGGCCTACTGCTTGCTCAAAGGGGCAGAGGATTGATTGAATTAGACATCATGCTACCAGATTCATGATTAGGGCCTGCAGGTGGCACCTAATTCGCCCATGTCGAGATTCTCTGCCTAGTAACCCCATCTTTGAGCACTTGGCTCCGTCGACCGTACCTTTGTTGAGGCTCCCGTAGGAGTCAGCGTTCCGAAAGGTCAACATATTTTCTACGCACTTGGGTGAGTCACCCAAAACCCTGTGCTCAAGCATCTCCCATTCTCACCAGGCTCCGCCGCCGCGCGGCGAAGCCTCAGCGGCACCCTGGCGTCTGGCCCCATGGGAGTCGAGTTTCGGAACCAGTGTCTTTCGGTGTAAGACTGTAGACACAAGCAGAATGAATCAACTGAGTTCAAGTCAAATCAGATCAGATCAGTTCACATCAAACCAAACCGAATCAAATCAGATCAAATCAAGCCAAACCAAAACAAACCAAACCAATCCCAATCAGAGCAAAGCAAACCGAACCAAATCAGATCAGATCAAATCAAATCATCACCATCGTCATCGTCATCATCCTCATTATCCTCATTATCCTCCTCCTCTTCCTCATCATCATCATGATCACCAGCATCAGCATCGGCATCAGCATCAGCATCATCATCATCATCATCATCATCATCATCAGCATCAGCATCACCATCACCATCATCATTATCATCATCATTATCATCATCATCATTATCATCATCATCATCATCATCATCATCATCATCACCGGCATCATCATCATCATCAGCAGCAGCATCCTTGTAATTAATAGGAGAGCAACAGATCTACTGTAGCAGCCGTTCCCAAAAGTGCGTGCAACACCACGTCGGGTTGTAAACGGGTGGACGGTGACATGAATCGGGAAATGACCCCGGCAAAATAGTTCTGGCAAGGCTGGCCAGCACTGCTGGGATTGAGAAGAAGTCCTGGAATATCCTTTGAAGGGTGTCTGGGGGCTCTCGCGCTGTCAATTGAGATGAAAAAAGTAGTTGCAATGAAATGAGTTTTTGAAAAGTAGCCAGCGCAGCACTTGCTCTAGCAGGAGCAATGAGCGCTCAAATCATCGCTCTAAAGTTTTTAATCATCGGGGGAATCAAGAGCCTCAGGGGTTAGCGCGCCGTGGAACAAGCCGCCGGCCAAAGAGACGGGTGCCTTGGCCGTCGTCTTCCAGGGGAATGCATGCTTTGTTCGATTGCCGGTTGCCATATCTTCTCCCTCGCTCTCTAAGGCCGAACCGCAAGACATCAAATGTTCGTTGCTGTTTCAACCGTTGCAGGCGCCACCAAGCCAACGACATTTTGCAAGGCCACCCTATTCCGCTGCGAAGTCTGACCTGAATGGTCGTGGAGATGCTCAGTTCTGTTGTGACTCGTACCGTTGTTTATTTCGTGGGATCTTGGGTGTTTGCCGGTGAAGCCTTTTTCGCAGCAGGCATCCCCGAAGGGGCCGTCCAATGGTGCTACAAATGAGGACTTGGGGACCGTGGGAGCTTCCGTGCGGCCCGAAGTGTCCGACAGCTTCCCTTTGGTTCTGTCTTCGCATGAAGTAGCCAACAGGGTCCTGCGTAGGTGCCGGTTTCTGGTAGTGTGCCGCAAGGTGGGAAACTTCGCAAAGTTTCCACGTGGAGTGTCGAACTAGGCTTGCTCCGAGCGACCCAAATCTCGATTCTCGGGCACCAGCTAGAAAACGAAGGATCTTGCGCAGGCGTTGTCAAACCACCTGCCGTCACCTTAGCATTCTCGGCCAATGGGCCGAACGATACATTTGCAAATAGGCTGCGAGCGACTGTTGTTTTCGACTTTGCACGCCTCTCTGGGCTCATGCAAAATAGCCCCCGATCGTTCTCAGGCAAAACCCCTCCGGGACTCCCAGCGTAGAGCTGATGCAGGCCGGCACTCATGGGCGGGGCCACTGGCTGATGCTTGTTCGTGCTCCTTTTAACCTACCCTCTGGCTTCGTTGAGGGGAGGGCCCGCTGCCCAATCTCGCTCGGTTCTGTGTTGCAAGTCAGCGTGGGAGGGGAATCAAGCAAGGTGTCACAGTAGTTTGATTCCTTGCATCGAGGCGCGCCCGCAGCTGCATTGCATGCAATATCCGTAGAAGACCTTTCGGCATCTGGCGGCCAGGCCCTCGCGAGAGCTGCCAACATCCAAGAGAAGGCGAATCGTGTATCAGTGTGCTGAGGATGCATCAGAAAAGAACCAGTGTCCAAAAATAACAGGCGAACAATAAGAATCCTTCACCCTCCATGCATGCATCAGAATCAGAACTAACATGTACACTTAGAAGGTTCCGGGAAGAAGGTTGCCGAAAGAAGCCTCTTGGATCCCCGGGTTCATGAGGCAGGCATGCAGGCCTTCCTTCCCAGATTTTGGACGACACTCAAAGTGTCGATCCCAGGGCGCGGCAGCGAAGGCGGAGGGCAAGGGCGAGCCGGCCCAAAAAGAAGCGCAAGGCACGGTAGCCCAGTTTCAGCAGGGTTAAAGGGCAGTCAGGCTGCAAGGACAACTTTGTGTGCGGATCAGAAGAGCAGCAAACACAGCCAGACGGGCCGACTTCCTTGTCTATGCGCCGCGTAAGCGCGCACACATGAAGAACTTAACAGGTGGATTAACGAACAGATCCAGGACATCAATCAACACGTGAGCAAGAGAGCAAAGCCGGAAGAGAAAGGCCACGTGGCGATGCAAGAGTCGCCAAGAAACAAGCAGGCACAATGTGCACGAATAGACCCCTAACTGTGCACGAATCAATACCTAAATGGTCTACGCCGTCTACACGTAGACAGCCGAACATGCAGGCAACAAGCATTGTATTTTGTTTGTATGAGGCTATGAGGTGTTAACGCTTCAGTGATTGTTGCATGGTGGGTACGTGACGGCTAGCGGCTAGTGAGGGATGAATGGCTCGTGCTGGGGCCTAGGGCCTTAGCAACTCCAAAGCTTCTAAGAGAACTTGTTGAGCCTGGGCTTGCGAGGTGACGCTTAGCTGAGGCTTCGCTTACATCCTGTGCAGGTGGTGCTGAGCCGGGCGAAGACAGCCTTGCAGGCATCCAGGAGCTCCAGGGCTCATGTTTCCTGCTTTCGGGTTGACCTGGCAGAGTATGTGGGAGTTTCCGAAAATTAGAGGTACCTTATTTGGGGGTCCTTATAATAAGGATCCTACTATCTAGGGTACTGTATAAGGGTCCCCTATTTTCGGAAACCCCCCATGTGTTTGAGGACGAGTGACTACGATTTCGGATTTAGTTTGGCATCCCCGCAAGCAGCTGTTTGATTTCTGCACGGATGGTGCTGTCGCCTGTGGCATGCTTGTCGGGGTTGAAAACGGAAAGCCTGCAAGTCTCGATACAGGCCGTAATCCAAAACGCTCCGAGCCGCCGCAAGCTTTTGGGGTTCAATCGGCATTGATTCTTTAGCATTCCTTTTGCTGGCAATCAGGGTGCAGGCTGCCCTCTTCCTAGAGCAAAACTGCTGCCTATTGTTGGGGGCGCAGCACGGTTTGCAGTGTTGTCCATGTCTTCTCCAGCTCACATCGTCATTTTTTTCACCTTCTGCTAGGCTACCCATGTAGTGGAGCACTAACTTCAGGGCTGGCTCCCCGAACCTGGCGGCAAACAAGAAAGGCCCTTGAAGCTTCAAGCGCTTCCTTCACTCTACAGCCGCTAAGCCCCAAGCCCCAAGCCCCAAGCCGTAGCTCCGACCCCTCGCCAGGAGCCCGAGGTGTTGGAGGCACTTCCGAGCCGCCGGCCATCTGCCGGAGCCTCCAGCAGCACCTTCGGGCTTAAGATGGCTTAAGGGTTTAGAATGGTTTAGAGCTCATAATGACTCATAATGATCATAATTCAGGATGGAAGCGCTGAACCAGGAATTTGCTTTTGTGACATCTTGTTGCAGGTGCGAGTGGTGCGTTTCTGCGACGTTGTTGAGGTAGGCATGTCTTCCGACTGCCCCGGTTAAGCTTGCCGAAAACTCGGGCAATGTGGCCTGCAGATTCCAGATTGACTAACAAGAGTCTTTCTCCGACGTCGTCGGCCAAGGCATTGCACAGACTGGCGAAGGAGGCCTTACATGCTGCGCGAGGCGTGGCTCGTGCAGGGAAGGGAAGCCATGGGGATTTTCTGTCGGGTTCAGGATGTGATTCCTACAATTTCCGGGGGCTACCTGGCAAGACTTGGGTGTTGATACCCGCCCAGAACTTAGGGCTGTCAGGTCCGTGCACCAACCTGATGGACCCCAACAAAGTTTTGGATCTATTGACGGCTCCCCAGCACATGATGATACTCCCAGGCTACCCTTCTCAGGCCATCTCGCCAGTGCTTCCGGTTCAGGTTCCAAAAGCTAGCTTGGGCTTGAACCCATGTCGTGGGCCCTCTCGGCGGCTCTGTGCCTCACATGGCGACCACAAGGATGAAGACACTAGTTACCGAATCACCATGCTGCCTTGAAGCATCTTTTCAGCCCTGGCAGGAGCACAGATTATGTCCCATTGCACTCTATATGATATAAGTCGAACGGAAGCACGAAAGAACTAACGGTTACGTCTGCAGGTGCGGGTGGCGGCGAGGCTGGCAGCTGCACCCGTTTCATGTGTTCAGGACCCTTGAACCTGCAATCAGTTGGTTAGGGGTGTAACGGTCTTGAGTCATGAACGAAGCAGGCTACAGGCCTCTAAACAGCACAACCCTTTGTTCAGTTCATGTAACCACGCAGCCGTATCCTTCAGACCGACCAGGCCGCCGCACTGGCAGTGGAGCACGCTGCCCAGAGACGAGCTCTGGGAAGCCACATAATAACATAGTAGCGAAGGCAGCAGCAGGAGTAGAAGCAGAGCAGGAGCAAGAGCAGGAGGAGAGGATGAGGCATTTTGCTGGTGGTGCTTTGGTGGTGGTTATCGCTGCGGTCGTAGTGCAACAGTAGCGCCAGCAGCAGTGGTACTTAGCAGACGGAGGTGCACTCGTAGTACTCATCGTCGCTGCATGATTAAGATGATGATGACTATCAGAATTACTCTTCTTTTTCTTATCGTTGGTACGTTTACATTGATATTTCTATTCGTGTTATTCCGGTTATAAAGATTTATTAGTAGTAGTCGTAGTAGCAGTTGTCGGTTTGTAGTGGTGACATTCTAGTAGCCGGAGTGGTGTAGTGGTGGTAGTAGTATAGTAGTAATAGTAGTCGTAGTAGTCGTGGTGGTGGTGGTGCTGGTGGTGGTGGTAGTAGTGGTGCAGCGGCAGTCGCAGCAGCAGCTCGTATCAGCAGCAGCAGCAGTAGCAGTGGAAATAGCAGCAGCAGTAGCAGCAGTGGCAGTGGCGGTGGCAGTGGCTGTGGCAGTAGCAGTAGCAGCAGCAACAACAGCAGCGGCAGCAGCAGCAGTAGGAGTAGCTGTAGCAGTAGGAGCCGGAACTGGAGCAGGAGCAGGAGCAGGACCCCGAGCAGGTGTCGGAGCAGTGCTGTAGTAGTAATAGTCGTCGTAGTCGTAGTCGTATTTGTAGTCGTAGTGACAGTGGCAGCAGCAGTAATTGTCGTTGTCGTAGTGGTTGTCGTTGTCGTTGTCGTGGTGGTCGTGGTCGTGGTCGTTGTTGTTGTCGTCGTTGTTGTGGCTGTTGCACTTCTAGGTGTAGTCGTAGTTGTAGTACTAGCGGCAGTAGTCGTGGTGGTGGTGGTGGTGGTGGTAGTACTAGTAGTCGTGGTGGTGGTGGTAGTAGTAGTCGTAGTAGTCGTAGTCGTAGTCATCGTAGTCGCAGCCGTAGTCGTAGTCGCAGTAGTCGTAGTAGTCGTCGTAGTAGTAGTAGTAGAAGAAGAAGACTGCATCAGAAGTAACTGGAGTGCCTCATCGTAGTCGTAGTACAGGCTGCCGCAAGATTACATGATCAAGTACAGGCTGCAGCAGGATTACATGATCGAGATGATGACAGTGGTTGTTAATTGCTATCATCATTATACCACCATTCTTTTTCTTGCTACTGCAGATTTTCTGCTTACAGTTCCATTGCGGTACGTTGGCGTTTGGAACTGGGGTCCGCGAGCCAGTCCGTGGGGCTAAGGTCTTTTTTTTTTGGTGGGCTGGTTGGTTGGTGTGTGTGTGTGTGTGTGTGCGTGCATGTACTTTGCTACCAAGGCACATGGTCAAGAAGCTACAAGAAGTGCTCGGCTGAGACCCACGGCATGAGCTTGTGTGTTGTGCGTGGCCTGATAGTCGACCGTGTGTCCATGATTGATTTATGCTAGATGTTTTCCAGGCATCTTGGAGGCCAAGCAGAGCAGTCTCGAGTGGGTTCCGTCCGAGATATCTAAGTTTTAGATCCATGCAGGGCTAACACCGGGAAGCATCGGCACACGACAGCACGTCTTGTTCGATCATCCCATGTCTGTTCTGTCACATCAGAACTAGAAGCTGAACTCCGCTAAGTGGAACAGCGGTCATCCGCCTCTTCTGCCCCTCCTCTTCCTACTGCTGCGTCCCACCACCGGAATCTGCATCCAGAATACCCGAAGCCCTGGAACTCCTCATCGGCTATCCTCACCCCTTAAATCCGCCTCCGGCTGTTTGTCTGCTTTTTCGGTTCACACCTTCTCCCAGCGACTGTTTTCGAACATGGCCATGGTGCTGAGGTGGCTGACGAGGAGCCCTCGGCCCCGGCGGATGGAGGCTGGGGCTTGGACCCGTGGTTCCAAGTTGAGGACGTAGATGGGAAATTCGGATGTATGGCTCGTTCTGAAAATTCTGTCGATGCCTTTGTATCTGTCGCGGCATCCACTTGTAACTCGCTTCTTGAAGCGGCCGTTATTTAGATGGCCCGTGAAACCGGATCGCGAAAAACGCGCACACTTGGGCCCTCATTATACGTGGAGGCAGGGTTGTCTGTACCCCAGACCTTGAACTCTGGACAGGGTCTGCATGGAGACGAGACCTCGGCCTGGAGATATTGCATAATGTTCGCTTGCATCCTGAACGTCTTGCAGCGGCAGGAGTGGTGGTAGTAGTGGTAGCACTTGTAGTAGTGGTAGTAGTAGTAGTAGTAGTAGCAGCCGTAGTGGTAGTGGTGGTAGTAGTAGTAGTAGTACTAGTAGTAGTAGTAGTAGTAGTAGTAGTAGTAGGAGTAGGAGTAGGAGTAGTAGTAGTAGTAGTAGTAGTAGTAGTAGGACTACGATTTAGAGTAGGAGCCGGAGTAGGTCTAGTAAGTCTAGCAAGTAGTAATCATAAACTTCAGGGGCCAGGGCACAACTGATATTGCAGGGAAGCCCAAAGAAGATCCCTCCCTCAATATCGCAAGGTGGCGAAGAGATGCGTGGCACCCGGGCATGTTCGTGTGCCGGCTTCTCTCGCAGTCGTGACATCTAGGAAGTTAGGACTTCCGTATGTTGCTGCCATGCTTACGTCATCTTACGTCAGTGTTCGCTCGCAAGAGCTCTTCGGTAGTTGCGAGACCTTCCGTTCAAAGGGGAATGCCACTTAATGATTCATGCATTGAGCATCATTGAGCGATGATGACTTGACTGTGGGAGCTGAGCCAGTTTGTGGGCAATCGGCCAAGACATGCGGGAAGCTATCAAGGACAATCCAGCCACTTCCAATACCTTTGCGTGCGTTTGCCCGAGCCTCAAAGCCACCTGTTACTGCTTGTTCTTGCTGCAGCAGTCGTTGTCGTCTTCAGTCAGGGGGCGGAGGCAATGGAGCTCGCCAAACAGGGATGCCGGTCCGGATTCTCTCCTACTGATGTATGTACCAGGATGGAGCAAAGAGACAGCGTTAGCAGTTTGGCAGGCATTCCTGTAAGGGCGCTTGCCAGCGTCATCGTTCTGTGTACGATTACAGTCCTTTCGCTGCCTGTTGTGTTCGAAGCCTTGTGGAAATACTGAATATTTTTACGACTATCGCAGGTGCTTCCGCACTGGTCATAGCAATACTGTGACGATGATCAAGACAATTGTCGCCACTATTGCTTTCATTTGTTCGAATATCTTAACGTTATCGTCGTCATCTTCTTTACAGTCTGGCATTCATCTCGAAACTTGTTATTACCGTCACCCAGAGTGCCTGCACTTGAGGGTCTTGGCGGCCTTGCTGTGTGAGGTGGGGCCAGATGCCAATACCTATCAATACGACTTCGCAGCAGCCAGCGACGATGTCGATGCCTGTTTCAGGACCGCGGTTGTTCTGAGTGCGAGACTGCCTTAGCGCCCTCATTGCAGATAAGTTGTTAGTCATGGACGTGCATTATGTGCCACTGATTTTGTTCAACCCACTCCCATCCTCCACATCTCGCGAAGCACTTCTGCTGCATCGCAAGATCAGATCGCATAATGACTACGCAGGAATTCAGGCACCTGACCTGGAATCTCGAGATTTTGGCACTCCCTGGTTCATGTCGGGTGGCAGGAATTCCAAGCAGGAAAGGGCCACTAAACGTCCAACCCTGCAAGCGAGCAGGAACATCAGGCGGCGGCTGGAAGTGGAAATGGGCGATGGGTGCGTGGCATGGGCCTTGAAGTACACATACGTCAGGCCGATAAGGTTTCAGTTTCAGCATTATTCCTCGGCCAAACCCACCGGCAACGCCCAGTCTACCCTTCGACGGAATAGGCCCTTGAATTGCATAGTCTTACCACATCGTATGCAGGCGTGCAGTGCATGATTAGATAAGTACATGACCTAAATGAAGTAAGGCATAAAGACTACGCAAACACAACATATGTACTCACATATTTACATACATGCGCCCCTTCCGGCTTTCGACGTCCGGTCTTACCTTGCTGTCTTGGGCGGAGTGTGTTGGCATCGGTCTCTTGGTATCTTGGGATCACTGCATGTATTCCGTCTGCATGCTTCGTATCTTCTCTGCCACGTCTCGATTGATCTGAGGTCCAGGTGTCTTTGCAGCTGGCCAGGCCTTGGATTTTTGTTCGCTCCGTTGATTTTCGTGGACTTGGGCGTTGCTGAAGGCTTGGGCTTCGAGGTTTGTCTGGGGCTCTGCTCCATGCATGCAATCGACTTGCGGGAGTGCTTCGTAACAATCCGACTTGACCAGCCGCATGGTATCGAGCCTGAGGTGTGCAAGCAAACCCTAAACCCTGAACCCTAAACCCTACACCCTAAAGTGTGTCCACAGCAGAAGCCGCCTATGGTCTCGCGAAAACCATGCAGGTGATTCTGTCTCGGACTCCTCGTGCCCTCGTCAAACAAGCGGAAATAGCGAGGAAAGACAGCGCCTTTCGTGGTGATCTTGTGGGTGTACGTTTCTGCACTGCATCCAAGGGTCATCTGTGCCGTTGAGTGCTGGTGCTTTTCGTGCAGTTCTGTGAAAAGTTGTCGAAAGGCGGTGCACTGTTGCCTTGTGCAGATCCAACGCCGCCCTCCGTGCCTCAAAGTTGAAGGAACATGGCTGCAGATGAGCTGCTGGTATCACCATTCTGGGGGGCGAAAATCCGACCTTGCCCAGCATCCTCCGGTTGATGCCCGTAAAACATGCAGAGAGAGACAGAGGGAAAGAGAAAGAGACCCCAGAACGTGTTTTCACATCCTTCCAAAGCCCCGTAGCAAAGGGGGGCCCTTGTAGCCAGGGGATCTCGCACATCCCCTATGCCCTGTAGAAGAAGAGGTAGGTACAGGGCACCTGTAGCTAGAAACCAAGATGTATCGAAAACTGCTGTGACCTGACCTGGGTGGCCCAACGTTCCTTTCCGTCAGGGGTGGTTTAGCTTTGAACTAGGTTCCAGCTGAACTCTAACCCTAACCCATAAACCCTCAACCCTCCGCCGATCCGTTCGGATCTGCTCATGCTGCGCGATGGGTAGCCCAAGACTCAGCTTCTCAGTCGCTGACAGCAAGATGCGCAAGACTTTGAAATGGCACACCAGCTATTTGTAGACAAGGCTGTATGATACTAAAGTCGAACTTGACATCAGACCAGACAGCAACAGAGAGACTGTAGAGCAGGTGGCCGACAACTGACCCGTAACACAACACCAGGTTCGATTGAAAGACCCTGCGTGCTTGTGCATAGGTTCAGATGAGCCTGTGTGTGGCATGCATTTGCTGCAGTCTGTCGGCATTCCATGTTGAAACCGATAGATCTTTACGGCTGGAATGGCGTATTGCGTCATGCCTCTCTGGAGCTCAACTCGAGTCTGCCTTTACACGAGAACCTTGACATTTGGACCCCTGATTTCCTGATTTCAGCTCCGGGTTCCTCCCAGCATTTCTTCTCTGTGTGCTTGCAGTCCGTGTTTGGAACCACCGGTGAGGACAACGTATACCGATGCGGATATACATAGCGGCTCTCTCTTCCAATGCTGGGTTCCAGGTCCAGGCCCAAATCGCCTATTTTGGAAGCAAGGCTTGCCAAGCTCGCGCACCTCAAACCTCTGCTGTCCAAACACCCCTGAACTCGAGATCATAAGGCTCATGTTCTACTGGCCTAGCCGACGGCTCACCCGCGGCAGGCCGCGGAACCCTACTTGTACTTTTTGAGGTCTTTTGGGGGTTATCAAAGAGGCTTCGCTGTCGAATGCTGCTCCAAATTTGGGGACGGTTTACATGCATACATACATATGTACGTAAAGGCGCTTATGTACGTACGAACACATATACGCTGTACATATACCGGTGGTTATAAACTATGGATGCAAATAGTTAGCTAAGTAAATGTATGAATAAACACATAGATGGAACAGCACACAAAGAGTTAATCAACTACTCAATCAACAAGGCGCATGATTTAATGTATATATATATAGATATACATATATGTATGTGTATATATATATATATAAATAAATATAAATAAATAAATAAATATATATATATATATATATTTTAAAATACATATATATATATATATATATCATAAACACAGACACACACACACACACAGGTACCCCCACCCTTCCACACACACACACAGACACACACACACACACACACACACACACACACAACACACACACACACCCACACACACACACACACACTCTTGTTCACCGTTTACCACTGCTTTGAGATTAGATGTTTCCCTTTACCCTGCTGCGCGTTTCGATGAGCACTTTGTGTCGGCCTTCCGGTATTCGTTAGATTTCGCTGAAAGAGAGGGCCACGAACCCTGCCTACCCTAAAGACGGAGTAATTCCTTTTCCTTCCGTACATGGGCACGGCGAGGCTCTGGAGCTCACCAGTAGAAGTGAAGAGCTCCCTTCAGCCGATACACAATGAACTGGCAGTTTCAGTCGAGCCTAAACCCGAGCTTAACTCAGAGCATGCATCACGGGGCCATTCTGCTTTACCGAGGTCTAGAAGTGCTGTCAGACCTTCTGCAAAAGCAGCTAGGGATTCTGCAGGCTGTGGCCGCCTGCAGCGTCTTGGGTTGCAGCCTCGGATGCAAGATACCGTGCGAACTTTGCCGGCGGTGCCGCTAGGCAGGTGGGAGTTGTAGTGGCAATCGCCTCAAAGGTTTCCATTGGGATCATCTCAGCATAGTAGATCCTGAGGCGCCTCGAAGGGATGGAAGCAGGTGTCGCATCCAGTCTCAACTCCTTCAAGGTGTTTGGATGCAGGGGAATCAGCTTCGTCGGTGGTTGCCATGAAGCTCGAGAGATAGCAGAACCATCTTGCCCTCCACACCTCAGCCTTCCAAAACCCCTCAAACCCAGTAAGGCAATGCCACGCTGCGGCCTCGGAGGGCACCGGTGCTCAAAAGCCTCTTAAGAATTGCAACAGATTTCAGCACATTGGTTGAGGATCCAAAAAAAGACTCCCTTCGAATTGAGACCCTCGCCAGGGCACCGCCTAGGTTTACAGACCTTGGGGCTATTTACGAACACAGTGGGGTGCATAGCGTTTTGGTTGTTAACAGATGCGGGCTGTATAAGAGATGCGGCTTTCCGCAGAATCGCTGCTTCTCGGAGGAACACTGCGATCCTTGCGAAGACGATGGCGCGGCGGCTGCCGACCTTGCCTCGGAGCATCCGCTGCTCGCGAAGATGCAGCAGGAGCAGTAGAGAAGGGAAAGGGCTAAGGCTTAGGGCCCCTTTTTGCTGTCCCTGGCGATGAGCCTTTTGCGAGAGGCGCAGGGCTGTGAGCAAACGACTTCTTCTTCTCCTTACTACTACTACTACTACTACTACCACTACTACTACTACTACTACTACTACTACTACTACTACTGGTGCTACTACTACTACTACTACTACTACTACTACTACTACTGGTACTACTGCTACTGCTACTGCTACTGCTACTGCTACTGCTACTGCTACTGCTACTGCTACTGCTACTGCTACTGCTACTGCTACTGCTACTGCTACTGCTACTGCTACGTTCTGCTACTGGTACTGCTACTGCAACTACTACTCCTACAACTCCTACTCCTACTCCTTCCCCTACTCCTACTACTCCTACTTCTACTACTCCTACTCCGTACTGCTCTACCATTGCTATTACTTTTCCACTACCACTACTACTGCTGCTGCTACTACTACTACTACTACTACTACTACTACTACATCTAGGACTACGACTACGACTACGACTACGACTACTACTCTACTACTACTACTACTACTACTACTACTACTAGTAAC